ACCTACAAATAAGGACATACGAAAACATTAAAATCTACCATTGACAGAACCATGGAAGTTGAAAAGTACCAAGGCTTCAGTTTGATTACCATAGAACTCAACAAATTTGCCAACACCACCATGCTTACTTAGCATTTGGGTCACAGTCAAAACCAAGTCAGTAGCAGTGACACCATTGCATAATTTTCCAGACAACTCGAATCCAACCACACCAGGTAATACTATACTCATTGGCTATCATTGAGTAAAATATAACATTAGAAACTGAAATGCAGGGGAATCTACTCAACGCATTAATTCCCAAAAGCATGTCTAAGAGGAGTGAAACAAATTCCATGAGAGAATCGCATGCAATTAAGACTTAATTTAAATAGTTTTTGGAGTCCTTAAATTAGATGGTTTGATTATAACATACAAGTATAAGGGGAAAAAAAGCAAGGCCCTGGATAACAAAACTCAAAAGCATAAACAGCCTTGAAAGTGTCAGATGCTAAAGAAATGACTCATATGTATAGGCATGTGAGCTAATACCTATGCTATATGGACTTGGATACAAGTATTGGGTGCAAGTAGCATCAAACCTTCCTAAACCTAAATCTTAGGATATTAAGATATGTATATTAAAGTTGGGTATGGGTATGGGACATGTCTTGAATACTTGTATAAATTGCATATTGTTAATATTCTTAGATAATATTATATAAATTTTTTAATTCTTACATGAAATTAAATAGAATTTAGGAAAAATATGAAATATGTTATATCCCTCATCCATGTGAAAGGCAACAAATAATTATTTACTAGCAAATGGTAGTTTCTTCTTCGAAAATCATATAAAATTAGAGGATCCAGGTGTCTAAATTAGGTACTGGTGTCAAATACACATTTCACACCTGAAAAATCTATAAATCCCCTAGATGTTGATTTGTGATTATGTATCAATTTTAAGCAGAATATAACAATCCCAATCAAACAATCAAGACAAAGAGACACAACGATTTTACATGGAAAAAACCACAATTGGACACCTCCAACTGTGATCAAAAAACCACGGGCAACAGCCACAAAACAATCCACTAAGAAGATTTAAAGGAATTACACAGGTATACTCTCAATTACCTAGCGAATCCACGCCTAATTGAACCAACCTCTATGTGCCTCTTCCAACCCGTCTTCACCTCGGAATTGTCTTTACGATGAGCCACCCCGGAATCCACCAAAGCTTCAGGCTCGAATTCTTCAGAATCCACCGAAGAACAACTCTCTCTTTTGTAGAACAAAACACAACCTTTGATGTACTCTCTTTAAACTATGAGTTGAATACTCAATAAAAACATCAAAGAAAACTCACAAAGTATCCCCAGATATAAACCCTAAAACCCAAAAAGAAGATCTGGAGAAGTTATCCTAAAATCTGACCCAACACGCGAATTTATAGAATCTGTCCCGCGATCTCCGCTCGAGCGCCCAACAGCCCGCTCGAGCGTCTTCAACAAAATATGCGTGTAATATAACAGAGGTCCGCTCGAGCGCCAGAAAGCCCGCTCGAGCGCGAAATCACACATCTCAGTACTTTTACAGGCGACCAAAACTGCTGGAACCAGGGATTCTCCACTCGAGCGTTGGTATGTCCGCTCGAGCGGACAGCTCGATCCTCGTCATAATCAGCGAAGTGGCAATCTTGAAAGCATTAGCATCACAAACTTCTCTGAAAAGCACAATTCGGGTTGGATTCGCATCTAAACACTCATACCCTCACTGAAATAAAAAGTGCGAAAATAAATACAAACTGAAAGGAGTTTTGTCAAACGGGATTGCCAAGAAATAAAACCTAACAACACCAATACTCTTGTCATATCCGGTGAACACGGATACTATGGAGAAATATAAGAGTCCAGCATGTAAAACTGATTAGAGGTAGCATCGTCTTGACATTAGCCCAAACACATCTCAAGTTTTGAGGCTACCAACCGAGCCCATTCCTAACCCATCTATAAGCCAATCATACGTGATTATTCCAATACATATATGTCAAAAGCACATGAACACATACATAGAATTGCATCAAAGTAAGTCCTTTATGCCAAAACTAGGTTGGTTTAGAAAATTTGTCCATCCCATTCCCAATTAGAAGTGGTACAGATCAAGAAACAAATACATCAGTCCTATTGCCAATTTTCTGTCCTTAGCAAGTAATGATATAACTGATGGGAAATATGGTATTTAACTTAAGTTTCACTACATACAATACCTGAAGTGATAAATTAAGCATGTGTGGCCATATGCCACAATATTCCATAACCTTATGTCATAGAGATTGAGTTATACCTCGTTGAGTGCTTTGATAGCATTATGTAAAAGGAAATGCACATGAATACGGTACTACAACAACCATCATAAACATAGTGGTTATGGTCAAAGAAAACAAATTCATCAATTTTCGATCCTAAGTATGGAGAAAACTTCACAATTCCATCATTTCAATAACATTATTTACCTGGCCAAGCATTGCTGCCTCTGCTTCAATACTTCCAACTCCCCAGCCAGCAACTCCTAATCCATTAATCACAGTAGTATGGGAATCAGTTCCAACCACACTATCTACATAGAGCATACCATCAAGGTTAAAAACAACACGTCCCAGATATTCAAGATTAACCTGATATGCCATAATGACAATCCAATTAATAAATTCAAATTATATACATGACAAAGAAAATGGTAAGACAATTGAAAATGAAAAGACAACTACAATTGCTAAGCATCTCTTCGTAATATATATATATATATAATAAAAAAAAATTAAACACAAAGCTTGAAATGAAAATCTTATACAGTGATTATATATAATTGCACATCAAGCAAATTGAGATAGATATGCAATTTAATATATTAAAGCTCTATAGATGAAGCTGCTCAGTTAAGCTCCCTTACCTGGTGCACAATACCAGAACCTGGAGGAACAACAAGCAAGTTTTGGAATGCATTTGACCCCCATTTGAGAAAAGAAAATCTCTCCTTGTTCCTTTGGAATTCAAGCTCCATATTTGCCTGTACTGCATTTTCTGATCTTGCAACATCAACTTGAACTGAATGATCAATTACAAGATCGACAGGAACCTGCATGCAGGATATTGCATAAACAGATCATTGAAAGGAAAACCGTATCCAAAAAAGTAGGCCTAAAGAAATGCTAATGATATGGTAACATGACAGTTGAGGCATGGCTTGAAATGGAATGTATGCACCACATGAAGTTAAATTTTTTTAATAAGGTTCATTTATGGAGTTTTCCAGGACTAGGAAGGAAAAGGTTTAACTACAGACATTAACCCAGAAAATAATGTGATAAAAAAACATGGATGAAAGGATTTGCAGCCAAGTTGAATCTACAAGTTACTAGTCCCAATATTTAAAGTTCCTACTCAAATTGACAGGGCCGGACCTCTATTGGGATTGGGGGGCGGAGTTGCACAGAGTTAATATCCAAAAGCAACTACCTCAGGAATCTAATTCTTGGAGGATAAAATAAATGCAGTAAATGAGAATGACACTCACCAAAGGATTGATCTTGTTAGAATCATTTCCAAGCTTGTTCATGGCGTCACACATACAAGCAAGGTCAACAACAGCTGGTACACCAGTAAAATCCTGGCACAAAAGAAGAATTTTAGAAGTTGAATACATGTCTATTGACACAATGAAGAATAATAATGACAAAAACCTGCAGACGAACACGAGCAGGCTTGAAGGGAATTTCAACTTGCTTCGGAGAAGTGTTTTTCCAATCAATTATCTTCTCAACATCTTCCTTAGTGACTTGGAAGTTGTCACAATTATGAATTGCTGATTCAAGAAGGATCCTAATAAAGTATGGCAGCATATCTATTTATGCAAATAACATAAAATAAAAAATATGTGTGTGATAAGTCATGGATACAACATAAACACAAAACCTTGTAAACCAGTAATGGTGAGAAGGATATTTCTACTAAAAGCATTTCAAAGGTTTAATTGTTGTATATAAAATTGATAAATATAAAACAACATTACTCGAGAATGAAAAATCATACCCGAAAAAAGTGGCTCAAGATTATACATGACAAAGTGGACAAAGTAGACCAGTCATGCAACATGACAACTGACTCGAGAATAAAAGGCATTCCTTTAATAACAAGTATTACAATCTTTTTTTTCTTTTTGGGGGTATATAGACTGTTTATGTGGCATTCATGCAGTAATTTTTAGGGGAAAAAATAAATAATAAAAAAAAGATACAAGTTACAATTCTAGAACAAGCTCAAGATAATTACCAATCCTTGGATCATTCAGAGCGGGCAATTTCCAAACTCTCCACCTCCTGGCTTGGGAAGACCAGTCAATATTCCTTTGAAAGCATGCTCGGATACTGAACACATACAGATAAACAACAAAATTGCAAAAAATTAACTAGCCAACAAAAAAAGGGTTGCAAAATTTTACTATTAATTGCAACGTCTGAAAGAGTACAATTCAAACCGAAACTATAAAATCGACATTAAGATTTATACTGTATAAATGATATCAAAATACCATTGTAAATAGTTTGAATTAGCACATTTCATTTTTTACAAAAATAGTTCTAGTACAGTTTTTAAATAAAGTAAAAAATTCACAATCTTCTAATACATAAGCAATGAACTAAGTACCATTTAAAAAAAAAAAAAAGGAAATACAACTTCATAGAAACATAAGATTCTTTTAGTACCCATGGTGGCGATCCTTTGCTCGAAGCCAGAGTCGCCGGAGACTTCTAATCGACGCCGTGACTCCACCGTGGAACAGAACGAAATGCGGAGGAGAAGCTGAAAGATCGGCACTGATTAGTTATAGACGGTGACGTATGAGCACGCGAAGAAGAACAAGAGGTCGCAGCTGTAGAGAGAGAAGGAGAAGACGACAGAAACTTAGTCCTCGATGCCCTGCAAAGCGCAACTGATTGGTTATATACATGACAATGATCACGCATTCAAACGCTTCAAGATAAGGATTGCAGTTGCAGAGAGAGAAACCTGTAACAAACCTGCCCAACACATCCCATACTCAATATACAAAGTAAAAAGGATGCAAACAAGATAATAAACAACATCCAACATCCACGGACACATGTCCGGATCACTGTACAACAAGGGTAAACCCGGGATCGCTATATGAAGACTGGTGGGGAGTGAGAAGTGGGAACGGTAAGAGCTGTTGGCACATTGGACTTGCCTTGCTTTGCCTTGTTCTTTCTATTGGTTTGTTTCGCAGGAAAAAGGCCAAATCACAACACTAAAACAGACCAATAGCAGGCCAACATGTCATTAGTATAATTCAATTTATTTATATATTATATGAATAAATTACACTCATAGCTAGGGTGATAAAACAACAATGATTGAAACTTTTTTTTTTTTGGACCCTTACAACTCTTTTTGGATCTCAACCAATAATGTTGTGAGCCTCACACATACATCAATGATTGAGATCTAAAGAGGGTTATGGAGTTCCTCAAAAAGTATGTCTTTTTTTTTTATCAAATCAAAAAGTATTTATGTTTGATTTGATAATTTTAACAAGTTTTAAAATTTATTTAAGTTTGTTTTATTAAACTTTCGAGCCAATCTCAAACGAGTTTTTGTCGAGTTAAATTCGAGTAGTTGGTATTTTTATATAAATTTAGACTTATTGAACCAAGTCAAACGAACAATTGGCTATTCAAATTTCGTTTTCGAACTTTAACAAGCTCCAAAATATGTTTAAATTTGGCTTATTTACTTAACAAACCAAGCTCAAACGAACTTTTAACGAGTCGAACACGAGTCGAACTTGAGTTATTTGATTCGTTTATCACCCATAGTCATCTCTTTTGTGGTCCCAGAAAAGCAAATGTTTGAGATTTTTAGAAAGAATAAAATTTAATTTCAACCACAATGATAGAGGGGTGTTTGTTAAAATCTAAAAGAGGTGATTATAGTTTATTCTAAATTGAGAGTTTGAGTCAGGTTGTTTGATACAATTTCTATTTTTAATTTATTAGGTTAAAATAATTTACATAAATTGATTATCAGAAAGTTAAGCGAAAGGTGCTGTTGGTGAAAATACCAGAAAAAATTATATTTTATTGATAAATGATGCAAAGAAAATGAGATACAAATAGATCAGACTGAGGCACGGATATCTCATTTTCTTTAAGGAGATCAAGCCCACTGCAGTAGGAAGAACTCCAATACTGATGCAGCAGTCACAAAACTATGACTTGTCCCCTCTAGAATACAACAGCCCGACCACTTGTCGTAGGGTTCAGGCCAACTCTGCACAAGATGGTGAACCCAAAGCTCCACCAATAAAAACACCCTTCTTTGGTAGTAATCTCTCTTGTACAGAAAATAGTTGATGTGTTAGTGGTGTAGAAAAGAGTAGATGAGAGGGACTATTTATAGGCCACTAGGACTTTACAGTTACACCAAAAAATAATGACCATTAAATAAGAGAAAATGGTTACACCAATATAATCACCATTAACCAAGTTCATGAATTCTATTTAACCTCCATTTATGACCAAGAGGTTACCAAAGTAATGAAATCCCATTTATGAAAAAGATAAATCAATAAATAAATATAAGATATTAAAATGGTCCAACAGGTGCTTTTAATTTTTACTTTCAATACATGACTTTGTTTTGTTGTACTTTATTCTATAGTCATATATTTTATATATGCAAATGTTAACAAGTATTCCTTAAGTATTGTTTGAAGTTGGAAAGTATATAAAAAGTGCCTTTAAAATATGTAAAAATGTTAAAAAGTATTATAACCTAATAAGTCCATAAAGTGTTCTCATATTTCACCAAGTCCCATATATTTTTTTCTTTTTTTCCTAATTTATAATTTTTTGGGGACTATTATACCCCTTTATATTTTGGTAGTACGTATTTCACATAGTTGTATTGTTCACGTTTCCATAGTTTTCTAGAAGCAATTTTGGTGATCATCAATTTTGTTGGGAATAGGTTGATACGTTTCAAATCTTTGTATGATAGCGTTTCGAATCTCTAATTTACACGTGGTGGCCAGAGAATATTATATTCCTTCATTTATTGCAGTGAAGTTTTTTTTTCTTCCATTGCTGCTTTGTGTTCGAAGCTCTATGTATGTCAATTATTGCTTTATGTTCGAAGCTATGTGTTCCTCCATTGTTGTAGGTTGAAGCTTTGTTTCATTACAGTCATACATTGTAGGAACATTATAAGTTGAGAATTGTTGGACGAAGCTTAGAAACTCAGTTTTTTGCCATAGTTGCGATTTCAACAAGAAATCAAAGGGAGAAAGAAGGATTTGAATCGAAGGGAGAAAGAAGGATTTGAATCGAAGGGAAAGAACAAACTTGTTTTTCAAATGTGGGTTTGGTTTGATTTGAATTAGTGTAATGGTGGAATTATATATGTTGTTAATGATAGTAATAATGATGAAGATGAGGATGAGGATGTTGATAATGATTTTTTTATTTTTAGAGAGATTGAGATTTTTTAGATTTCTAGTTCTGTTGCTTCCATTGTTTCTGGTTTTTGTTAACATCATCACATCATTAATCAGTGTTAATGTTGACATTAATTTGTAATGAAAAATTGTCATTTGTCCATTAGTGTGAATATTCTAACACCTATATAATATTAAATGGTGTATATATTTTCACTGTGTTCATTACCATTATGCAATGGTGATGTTAAAGTTCATATCACACTATTGTATTCAGTCATATAACCACTAGCCACAATGTTTATTTGTATTTAAACATGATGTGAATATTCACAATGTGATAAATAGATGTGGAAATTCACATTAATTCTAGTATGTTTGTGGATGGATCATATACCTAATTTATGTAAAATGTGAATATTCACATATGTAGTCAATCACAATAAAAATAGGATAGAATGTGTTTGGAAATAGGTATTAACATAAATTACGATATAAACATTCACACCAACTTCAACATAAGAGAACAAATGTGAATGTTCACACTTTATATTGTTTGGAACATTTTGTTGGAGAAATTCTTCTTGAATTCTTCACTTGGTAGTCTTTGGGTCTTCAAAAATTGGCAATCAAAATGTCTATGTAAAACAAAAAATGGATGCTTCGAGTCACATTACTAAGTCGCTTTCCTAAAGATAGATATTTGCATCCACCAAAAAGTATGCACAGGGTTTGTTACCCAAAAAGCAACCTAAGAGGGGGGTGAATTAGGTTTCTACAAATTAAAATTAATAATACCCCAATAAAAATTAATAACTAGCATGGCAAATGATTAACTGATAAAATAGAGAGTTGGAAAATGGATAACAGTTAATTTGATTAAGCACAAAAAAGAACTTAATAGTGAAGTAGCTAAATAAGAATGCAGTGAATGAGTTTTGCTCTGATACAGATAAATAAACAACTAACTATAGTAATTCCGGTTTTGACCCGATCTTTGTTGTATTCTGGACTTGGGTTTCATGGTTTAATGTTGTTGTTCATCTTTTACTCTTCTTCTTGTCCCTTGGGTTTGTCCTTTGGGTTTGTCCTTTGGGTTGTTGTGGTTGTGTTTGGGACAGGTTAGTTGCTTAGTTTATAAACCTTTGTTGCCCAGAATTTTGCCCCTCCGCTCGAGCGAGCTTTACAAACTCTCAGTACTTTTGCAGGTCTACAAAACTACTAGGTGAGTGTATTCTATGCTCGAGCAACGCTTTCTACACTCGCGCATCCACTTCTTGCACTTGAGCGTTGGTCTATTGTCTACTAAACTTTTGGATGTGTGTTTTCTACGATCGAGTGTCACTTCTTGAGCTCGAGCAGCGATGGTCTTCTTCATTGTGCCCTAGTGCTTGAGCATCACTTTTTGCGCTTGAGCGGAACAACTTATTGTGTCTGACGCTCAAGCATCACTTCTTTTTCTCGAGCGAAACAACTTATTGTGTCTGACGCTCGAGCGTCACTTCTTGAACTCGAGCAGACTATGTGTATTTCAATCCGTAAAACTGACATTTTACATCACTTTTTCATATCTCTCTCTCTCTACTTTTCAAAAACCATAGATCTAAAGGTCCTCTCTCTAAAACTCCCGCTCTCTCAAACTTCCTCTCTCTCTCTCTTCATTTCGCCTAGATCCATTGAGTTCTCTACCCTAGTATCTTTGAGAAAAAGGTGAAGCATGCCGAGGGCTCGCATTTGATCCGAATATATTTGTGTTTGAGCATCTTTGAAGTTTCTCCTTTGCTCCTTCGATCTTCTAAGCTTGAAGTAGGGATTTTCTACACTTTTATATGATTTTTAACGTAGTTATGAGTTGTTGTGTAAAAATTATAGAATTTGAGTGTACTATGAACAAACCTAGGGTTTGGATATTAAATCAAAACAGGGGTTTCTAAGCGAATGAGTCATAAATGGTTGTGGGGTTGAATATGAGGTTACATTATGACAAAATAGTTGATTTTGGCATTTGGGTTGATATTTGGGAAAGAAGGAGTTTGTCCTAAAATGTTTTAAATATTTATTTTGTATAAATAAATGGATTTGGTATTAAAAATGTGAAATTGAATGAATATTGACATAAATGGTGGAGAAGAATATGTATTATCGCTTACCTACAAAATTTTGAATAAATTATCTGTCTTGAGATTGAATATCTATCTAGAAATATCTGTATTGGGCTATCGATGGAGGATAGCTATGACTGTTGTAGAAATTGCATGAGGATTAGGTGAATTAAAACTAATCTCTTGTTGGCTGTCATTGAATATGATTGTGTTTTAAATAAATTGTATATGTATAAGGTTTGGGAAGAGAAAGGGGATGTACTCCATGGTTGGGAGGAGAAAAAAAATGGACTCCATTGAATTAAGTTGGCATGCATGTTCAGGGTGAAAGTCCCGAAACTGCGTGTATACACGGGTGCCGATTCCTGCGGACGGAATTTTCGTAAAATGACAAATTGAAGTGTTTGTGTGATTGTTGGGTTGATTAGAGAACCACTGAGTTGTAGTCTTAGTTGGGTTGTCT